TCTTGTATTAACACCATCTCATCTTCGGCTTTTATATGTCCTTATTGTGTTGCAGTATTGTGCTGTGAAACTCTTACTAAAACTAGAACTAAATCTCCCCTGTCTCTGTTTTGTGTGGGTGGTTGCTCCTTCTTTCCTATAAAAAAGCCCATCTTCTCTATCTCTCCTCCTTTTTTGTGTTTGTCACTCTCTTGTAACACCAATATGACCTTATTGTGTTGCAAGTGCCTAAAACTCTTACTAAAATATCTGTATCTGTTTTGTGTGATGGTACATTGATGACGTGTGTAATTTTTTGTTTTGTTTTGCCTTTCCACAGCTGGGTCATAGACTTTGGTGACCGTGGCCTGAATGCTATCCTGAGGAATCTCACGTACTGCTGTGACAAGTAAGTGCTTTTTTCTACACTGTTTTACATTGATTTGTTCTTTTCCAGTAGCTACCCTTGTTTTATTTTCTACTTTTTCTGTAAGTTGTTGGCGGATGCTCTGGTATGGTTGGCTCCTTCGTTCCTATTAAACATCTATCGTCCAAATCTCTCCTCTTTCCTTTAGTTGTATGTCACTATCACACACCCCTAATCTTCGGCACTAAGATGACCTAATTGTGTTGCAAGTGCCTGCCGTAAAACTCTTACTTAAGCTAAACTACCTTTTCTTTTCTGATTCCTGCTGCTGGTGATGAAGAATGGTGTAGTATGTGTACTGTACAGTACAGTCGAACTTGTCTAAGGTGGCCACCCACTGTCAAGGAGAAAAATGTCCGTTCTAGACAGGTGACTGTCATGACAGGTTTGACTGTATTTGGACATGGGCAGAGTGAGCAACCTTTTCATCCTATTTTGCTCACCTTTAAGTTACCCCTTGAGCATGGACATTTAACCCCCCCAAAAAATTACAAAAGCTGCAAGATTATCTTCAAAAAGGGCTCTATTTCAGTACAGGTCACCTATGGATGTATATTGTGTAAAATAATTATAATTAAGCTATTCAGATGAAAAGTAAAGATTAAGATGTAATTTAAAGTCGGAAAAATAGATATATTTGGCGAAAAAAAAATGAAAATGTTAAAAAACAAGACTCAAAATTGCAAAATAGTTTTTTAACACCTTTTTTAAAATGCCTTCTAAACAATTGATTGATGCAGGCACTTGAAACTTTGAAGGAAATGGATTTAGGTTTTAAAAATGGAGGGGGACAAATGTATGGTTTAACTGGGTAAAAATGGGGAAAATCTAACCCGCAGATGGCCTTAATTTGATATTTTGTGAGAAAAGTTTCCTCTTTTAAGTATAGTCAGTGTATGTTATTTTCCGGTTGTGTTAAGAAGGTAGGGCTAAAGTAACTCTAAAATTACAAAAATTGATCGGAGGAAATTGAAACTACTAGTCACTTATTTTTATCCATGTTTACTGAACGTTTCCATTTTTTGTTTCCTTCTGACAGACATGCTCACTTTTTACCCCTTTGTTTTCTATGTCTCTTTCATTAAATAAAGGATTTGGCTCTTTCATAGATTGTTTTTGTTTATTTCAGTGCTGCAGAGAGGAGGAGCACATACGAGTGTGTACGGTGCATGAAAGCTTTCATGAACAACACGGTAGGTAGCTCGCACAGTGGTCGACTGTTTTACTGTAAAGTGACATAAAAAATATCATCAATCGTCATCTATGCCTTTCATCCCCGGCAGGGTATAGGCCACATACAAGTTCCTTCCATTTATATCTGTCCTGGGCTGTCCCTCCAAGCTTGTTCCAAGTGAGCTTCATCTCTCTCAGGTCCCTTTCCACACATCTCCTCCATGTTTCCCGTGGCCTACCCCTGCCTCGTGTTCCCTGTGGGTTCCACTACAGCACCATAAAATATTGAATCAGTTATAGGGGAGGTTGCCTTGCTGTAGCTGAACGACTCAATCGCAAATAGACCGGGACTTATGTTGACTTTTCCAGCCTTATGTAGATGTGTCTAAAGCTTGTGTCCTGTGATCCAGAGAATGTTCTTTTGTTGTGTTGGAATTTAGTCACCAGTTTGCTGTTCCAGACATATTAGTGACTGTTATGGGTTCAGATTTTAACTTCTGTCCCCCACCTGGAATTGGGCTGTGATGTTCTTCTGATGTTTGATGGCCATCATCGGATTTTTCAGATTTCATTTTTAGTGCTTCACCTTCTTTGACAGAATAAATTAATATCTTGTTTAATTTTGTCTCAAACTGAATTGTTTTTTGAGTAATATCATTGGTAGCCAAGCAACTCCTGTTCAATGACTTGCACCGAAAACTAAAAACAAAATGCTGTCTGTGATGTTAGGCGTTTTGCCGTCGCATGCAGCTTATTGTGTTGGAAGTACCGTAAAACGCTTAATAAACCTAGAAAACAACTGTTTTATGACGGTAAATCAGTGTTTCAAAGTCATTTACGTCAAAGCTGGAAAGATGGAATAAAATAGCATGAGGCTCTCGATATCTGTGCAAAATGTTTATCTGTGTATCTTATGAGTGCTTTCCCTGATGGAGACCTTTATAATGGTCCTGCTTGATATGTTATTGAGACATTGTTAGCACTGAGAGCTGTCCCTTAGAGTATATTCAAACTTGGAAAGGGACTAATAATTCCACATTTCTGCCTTATTAGTATGCATGTGAGTTGTCTTTGTTGCAGCCTTTTGGTTGCCTGGTCATTGTCAGCAGTGTGGCCAAATTTTGATGTTCTTTTGTTTTGTTTTGTTTTTCTCTTGTAAAGTCTATTCAATGTTAAGACATCTATTTTTTTGGGTTTTTAAATTTAATGTGGTAATTCACAGTAGAAGCATGGTTTTCAAAGGAAATTAAGATTTCATCAGTGGTACTTATGAAATGCTGTCCTCTCAAAGTTTGTCATTTTGACAGATCTTTTCAAAATCACCATCTTCCTCTTTTCTGCTGTCCCAAGACATAGCAAAGTATCTGAGGAAATCAAGTTTTTTTGTTTCTTAGTTTGTTACTTGTGTCAGAGACAGAACAACAACGTATCTACATATGAAACAGTAGTTTTCAAAGTGGTAATGTAAGTGACTGATCTCAATCCCATTATTGATGGCAAAGTGATGTATCTACATTTCCTCACAACCATCTTTAGAAGCTTTCATAACTTTAGACAGGCTAAATTAAATGCCCAAAGTTTTAGCATTTTTCTCAAAATCATAAAATGTGCATGTTACACGTTGCGCTGCCCCTTTGGATGGCAGTTTCGTGTCCGTCGTCTGTGTGTAGCCTCCCCCTCCCCCCTTGCTCCCTCCCCGTGGCACTAACCGTGACAGTGTGGCATGTTTGTGTGCTCTACAGTTTGGTTTGAAGCGCATCCTAGAACACGAGGAGGCCCTGACCATCATGTCGCGGACCGTGGACCCGGCCGACCATCCCACCATGCTGGAGGCAGTGCGGCTCTTGGCCGCTATCTGTCTAGTTCCCCCCAATGGGTAGATACTACTTTAGTGTATTCCTCACTAGAAAATTTGTTGTCGTGCCACCTCGCAAACGTAGAATTGCAGAGTTTTTCTATCTGCTCAGTACCTGGTTTTGAGAAATTTGAAGTAAAAAGTTTTGAGTTTCATATGTCAAGCTTTTTCGAATGCAATTCTTTGAAAATCTCGACAAAAATTCAGAATAATCTCACGATTTTGATAAAGCAAATAGACCATTTGTTTTCTGACCTCATGGGCTTTGTAACTCAAAACGGCCAAAAATGTCAGACAGAACTTTGTGATTCTAAGGTAGCGACCTGTCAAAATAAAGTTTTCCGCTTTATGGAACTGTATGACTTCGCTAAATAATCTTTATGTTGTGTGGTTTCCATCAGTTTATGTTAAAGGGTGACAGTATGAATGCTAAGATGAAGCTAGGTCTGGGAGCTGTTTATTGTGTTGAGGTAAAAAACTTTACAAAACAACAAAAACAAAAACAAAAAGCCTAAACTGTAGAAATTTAAAGATAAATATATCTGGTGTCTCAGTGATGTGGAAGGAAACTATAAAAATTGAGAGCTGACACTGACAAGATCATACTGTTTTGTATGTCAGTATGTCAAGCTAAGGACGTTACTACTGGCATGTTGAAAATCCAGTAACTTTTAGTGAAAATAGATCATAGCCCAGCTCTGTTTCTTACCATTGGGATCGTAGATGAAATGATTGGTGCACTTCCAGGAACAGCCTGTGTGTATAAATTCATTTTCAGTAAAGTCAGTAGTGAAGGTTATATGGCTTTGAGGAAATGATTTGTAGTTTTTCTCAAGAGAGAAGTTGCTGTTGTACTGATCAAAATGACTTCAGTACTTAGCTTTATATGTGGAATGGTTTTTTTTTAAAGGTCTAATTGAGGCAATTTAATGTTTTGTTGTATGTTATTTGTTACGTTGAAGTAATGTCAATAATATCGTAGATGTAGCACTCTACAGTAGAGAGTATGCAATGCCACCCATGAAAGTGAGCCTTTAGTTAGCCCTTCGTGACTCATATGACTGACCAATGCCGCACAGAATGTTTTGTTTAAACCGGCTTGTGACAAGATAATATCTTGTTCCTTCGTACACTGTTCCAAAGTATCTTTCCAGGAGACCTGTGCTAATGTGAGAACCTAAGTCCCTTGTGTCAGGGTCTGGGTTTTGTTTGTATGGCTCTTTTTGTCTAAGCAGACGGTTAATTTAGCTTAAGATGATCTCAAGGCTGTCTTCGTGCAGCTTCTTTCATGACTAATTTTTCCTATGTTAGAAGCACAGATTCTGTCTCTCACGCGTGCATGTCAGTTAGGTGGATCGAAGCTCTGTATTTCCGCTGTTTTCCTTTCGTCGTTGGCGCTTCTCTGCCTGGTTTTGTTCACATTTTTATGAAATCATCATCCCAGAGGTGACAATTTTCTGGATGAATCTGGAAATCCAGAAATCTTAAATTATCCGAATATTGTCTTGATTACATAATAGCATTGATAAGAGGCGGATTTAACAGTATGATCTGGAACAGTTTTTTTAGTCCCCATGTGCACGTTTCCTCTGGATCTGAAAAGTTATGGATTTTTTTTCCGTAGCCGGTTGGTGTCTGTGTCATTGTTCTTGAGATGTGTAACTCTGTGCAAGAACTGATTACTTTGGCTTCCTGTTCAGAATGATGTATATTGTCGTCTGTGAGCTTTTCAGCTGCTTTGCGTTATAACAGTTTTGCCTCTGTACTTGAAGTTTTTAGTAGTATATTTGATTATGCCTCTGGACCATAAATTTTCGAAAGTTTGGTGGGTTAATTATTTTTACTCTTGATTATTTTGTTCTTTTACTTTGACCTTTGTTTGCCTCCTCTTTCTCTCTGTCTCTCTGTCTCTGTCTCTGTTTCTCTCTCTCTCTCTCTCTCTCTCTCTCTCTCTCTCTCTCTCTCTCTCTCTCTCTCTCTCTCTCTCTCTCTATCTCTCTATCTTTGTGTCTCTCTGTCTCTCTCTCTCTCTCTCTCTCTCCCACTCTCTCTCCCACTCTCTCTCTCTCTCTGTCTCTCTCTCTCTCTCTCTCTCTCTCTCTCTCTCTCTCTCTCTCGTCTCTCTCTCTCTCTCTCTCTCCCTCCCCCCCCTTTCTCCTAGTAATGAGTCTTTTGTTTCCTGACCTTTGACCTGAATCGTTGGTCCCCAGTCATGACAAAGCCCTGGAAGGCATCACGGTGTGCGGAGAGATCAGGAGTCAGGAGCGGTTCATCCCAATCATCAATGGCCTAGGCATGAGGGATAACCTGCCCATGCAGGTAAAACTGCAGTTAGTTGTGAAGAAAAAAAGAAATTAAAAGAAAATAAAATTCCATTTTTATTTATCCTTGTTGGAAAATTTGATTTATAATGGTTTACATACATACATGTCGTACATTTACGGTGGCGAAGTGGTTAGGCTCTCAGACTTGCAACCATAAGGTGGGGGGTTTGAATTCTGTGGGGTTGAATCCCGTTAAGGTCGCAAATATTGTGTCCTTTAGAAATTCTTGTCCCTTCACCTGGTTGAAAAGTAGGTACCAGGTCATAGACAGTGAAAGATATTGTCATTTTGTCCTTGTTTGAGCTTGTAAAATCTGCTGCTTGCAGTGTATGCTCCCCAGGAGTCCGAGAATGAGAGTGTTTTAGGGTCTGCTGGGGTAACAATAGTTTATAAAGCGCTTAGACCATACTGTAAAGCATGGATATGCGCCATATAAATGCAATTATTACTATTATTACACACATACGTCTAAGAGTAGGTGTTTGTTATTGTGCCTGCCATGAAAATAAGTGATTGTGCTTGCTATGAGAAGGGTCGCAATCAGAAGATCAGAGTTCTGTTCCCGAAAAGGGAGAAGTTTATTGAGTATAGTTTCTCGGTCTTTCTACTGGGATGTTGTATCACTCTCAGATTGGGTTTTCAGAGACGGGCAGGGTTGAAGCCTGCCCCCTAAATATTCTAAAGTGTGTTGATGGAAGCTTAGAAATACGAACTAAATGAAAGAGATTGACTTTAAATGCTGAGGTCCCGCCTCTAAACTCTTTAAACCCTGAGTTTTTCCACCGCTTCCGGGAGTTTTTTCTACAGTCACCTAGACCTGGTGTACTATGTCTCATTATAGACCCAAAAGCTTGCTTCCAAATTTTAAATGGCGGAAACAAAAGCCTAGTCATTACTAAAAGACTTGGTTCGGGATTAGTTCTAAAAAAAACAAAAAATACTAGCGCAGAATGAAATGAAACAGTTGTCACTAATATCGGACGCTCTCAGCGTCAGATGGGGAACATGATTATTACTCTACTGTCGGATGCAGCAACGACAACAACTTCAACTTTTGGATTATCGATTGAGTGTCGTTATCACTTTTGAACAACAACAGCAACCACAACTACTACAACAACAACAACAACAACATGTTCCTCTCCCACAGGTGGCCTGTATACAGCTGGTGAACGCCATTGTGAGTACGCCGGACGACCTTGACTTCAGGATGCACCTACGGAATGAGTTCATGCGCACAGGACTCATTGATCTCATAGGGGTACGGCAATTGTTGTTACGTTTTATTTTTGTTGTTGTTGTTGTTGTGTGTGTGGGGGTGTGTACGTGTCTGTTTGTCCGTCTACCTGCCTGTCTATCTGCCTGCCTGCCTGTGTCTTTGTCTGCTACCTACCTGTCTGCCTGCCTGCCTGCACTTTTGTCTGTGTGCCTGTGTTCTTGCCTGTCTATCTACCTTTTTTTTTCACATGCTTGTCTTTTTGTCTGCTTGCCTTCCTGCCTGCCTGCCCATTTATCTGTCTGTCTGTCTGTCTACCTGTCTATCTGCCTGTCTGTCTTTTTGTCTGCCTGTCTGCCCATTTGTCTGTCTGTCTGTCTGCATATCTGTCTGTTAAAGACTGATCCGTGTACGTCTAGTTTTGACCTGGTCTGATCTTTTCCCTGTGTTACAGCAAAGGTTTCTGTTCTTCTGTATTGTTTTGTTGTCAGTGTGTACTCCTGTAAAAAGAAAAGTGGGGGAGAGAGAAAGAGAAGGGGGAGAAACAGGGAGAGAGGGGGAGAAAGAGGGAGGGAGGGAGGGAGGGAAAGAGAGAGAGAGGGAGGGAGGGAAGTAGGGAGGGAGAGAGAGAGAGAGAAAGAGGGAGGGAGGGAGGGAGAGAGAGAGAGAGAGAGAGAGAGAGAGTGAATACTAGTTGTGCGACTGTTATGAAGTATCCAGTTTTAGTTTGGATGTGAACAATGCAATGTTTTTAAAGCCACATTGGGATAGGGGCTCTGTATTTTATAATCATAATAATAAAAATAACCACAACAACGACAACAACAATAATAATGATAATTACAAAAGTAATCACCGTAATATTTGTAATAATAATAATGGTAATAATAATATGAGTAACAGTAGTCATAGTAATAATAATTTAAAAATGTATCTCTTCACAGTGGTTGGATGCCCAGGAGGATGAAGAACTGAGGACCCACCTTCACATTTTTCATGAGCACAAAGATGAGGACATGGAGGAGTTTTCTCATCGCTATGACAACATACGCCTGGAGATTGAATATCCTTGAGTGCCTCCGTGTTGCGATTTTTGAAGATCTTCGCTCCCGATTTTCTTTTCGAGCGGGTGGTTGGCATATGTTCTGTTTTGGTTTGCTCCTTCTTTCCTATCAAACATCTGTCGTCCTTATCTGTCCTACTCCTTTTTTGTGTTTGTTACTCTCGTGTAACACCTCTACTTTATGGCACTTATTTGACCATATAGTGTTGCAACTGCCTTTGGCAGGAGGTAGTTGGGGAATTTATGGGAAGACAATTTTTATACTTTTAGTATTAATAATAATAGATAGCGTTTGTATAGCACAAATTCCTGCTCAACAGCAATCACTATGCGCTTTACAATCTATATTTACAATTTTCAAGAATCTAGTTTGTGGTACTGTGGATGTAGATTCCTGTTGTGTATTGATTTTTCTCTCTTTTTTTGTTTGTTTGTTTTGTTTTGTTTTGTTTTGTTTTGTTTCCTTGACTTGCTCCAGAGACCCCCGGTCATGCTTCAACCTCTTGCTGGGCACGGTCAACAATACAGTGTCAGAGCCCTACTTTCTGTCTATCTTGCAGCACCTTCTGTCTATCCGAGACGACATGAACGCCAGGTCAGTATAATGCAAGGGTTGGAACGACATATTCATATGGACTGCTCAGGGCAAAACTCCCATCCGTCATATGTCACTTTTCCAAATGGCGTATGGCAGAGTCTCACATTAAGCAGTCGAGATGTGTTTATTGTCAAGTCTCTGTTTCTGTCTTTTTGCACGTGTTCAAATTGTGGACGAGTATATGTGAGGTGCGCTGACAAAATGAGTTACTTCTCCGATTTTAGCCTTATGGAAATTGATACATCAACTTTATAGGTGAAGTTTGTACAATTTGTAAGTATGGAAGAATAAAAGACATGGTAAACTTGAACAAAATGGCATCAATTAGAAATCTATAAATCTGACCGCAGTGTCGATGTTCGGCCGATATCTCCATTCTTGGACAGCGAGAAGTAACTCATTTTGTCAGCACACCTCACATATAGCTCTTATTGAAATGCTGATAAGTTTTATGTAAATGAACTTTGTTTTTGTTTGGGTTTTTTGTTGTTGTTTTTGTTGGGTTTTTTTCGTTAATGGTCTTCTCTAAACTCTAAAATGTTCCCCTGTGTCCTCCTTTTAATGCTAAGGGGTCCCTTTCATGCTAGTAAAGTTGTCCGATTTCTACAAACTCTTGTAGCTTAACTGTCAGTGATAAATTTGCATGATCAATGAACTGAGTATGTCTTTGCCTCATTTTTTTTCTGTGATGCCATTCAGCTCATTATTTCCTCTGATTGGTTTTCTCTGCAGACCCCAGTACTATAAGTTGATTGAAGAGTGTATCACACAAATCGTTCTTCATCGAAGCGGTGTAGACCCTGACTTCAGATATACTCGACGGTTTGAAATTGATGTGGAACCCCTGCTGAGTAAGTTTATTAGTCACTAAGAGTTAATCCTTTGATCCCTCGATACCGAAATATCTGTATGAACTCAATGTAGCAAACACTGTGGGGTACCGAAAGATCGGTATGGCACACTTACCTAAATGTGAAGTGTATTTACAGAAAGAGACCACAAATATGAAAAAGCGGCAACTATATACACCAGCATATATTACAACAAACGAAATTAGACAAATAGATAAAATCAACGCTAAAGTGAGCTGTAGAAAAGTATATATAGAAATTACTCAGGAGCCCAGTATAGCACATTTAACGTTCAGGGCCCAGGGTTCAATGGGTTAAAACCTTTGAGTCCCAGCCCCCCCTTCTCGATTCTGGTGGACCCCAGGGTCCTAAGCCCCTTATGGAAAGAAATAGTGATTCTATTTTTAAGAAACTCAAACTTAACTTATAACATACCCTTCACTTTAAAAACGGATGTAAAGGAAGGATAGCTTGTGAACAAAGAATGAGAACTCTCTTTAACTTAGTTGTTATGATAAAAACTTGTGAGCGTTGTGAATGAAACTTAATATGAATATAAATTTTAATGTAATAATTTATTTCTATTATTATTATTATTATTATTATTATTATTATTATGATGATTTTCTTCTTTTTCTTCTCTTTTCTTCTTATCAGTAGTAATAATATTGATATTATCGTTGTTGCTGTTTGATATTGTATAAATGTGTTTGTCTTGTGGCTACAGGCAGCCTGTCAGACCGGTCCAAGTTTGAAGACACGGGTGACATCAGCGTGGCCGACATCACACTCAAGCTGGACAGTGCGCTGACCGCCAAGCAGGAGTCGGAGGCCAAGGCCACCAGCCTGGAGAGCAAAGTCCAGCAGTACGAGCTGGAGCTGTCGCAACTCAAAGAGAAGGTGATTTCCGTGGAAGGGCAGTTACGCTTTTTTGTGTTACTCTTTTCGTTGTGAGATGTGCATAGCTTCGCCAACATTTACCCACAAAAACAAATATTTAGTTCTTTTTTTGGGCTCTGAGTAAGTAAGAACGTATTTGTGTTGGAAAATACTTATTTTCTTAATTTTTTTGCTTCTAGTATTGTTCCTCACGGACTTCAGATAGTGGAAAAGGAATTATGAAATTTCAAGACAGGATTTGTATTTGATAATTCGAAAGAAGAGTGACTTTATTGGATGCCGAAAAGTGTGTGTGAAGAGTTGGGGGGGGTTACTTGCTCAGTGCCCACCATCTTGACCACCCGAGTGAGTAGAGGCTGTACTTTGATTCTGAAAAGTTGGCAGCTTTCGATGTATTTGCAGGTTGACAGAGCAAATATTATGATTTTTAGAAGGTACTCCAGTTTTCTGTCTTCTCGAGAGTGGGTGATTGGCGGGTGCTCTGCTATGGTTTTCTCCTTCTCTCCTTTCAAACATCTATCATCCTTATCTCTCCTCCTTCCTTTTTGTGTTTGTTACTCTCTTGTAACATGTCTAATATTTGGCACTTAAATGACCTAATTGTGTTGCAAGTGCCGTAAAAGGCTTCTTAAAACTACACTGTCTTCTGGAGGAAAGGTAATGTGGATGGGATGCCTTTATGCTTATTTTGAAATGTCTTGTACTTGTAACAACTGCCAGTTGCTAAAACAAATTGTATTGTTTTACTGGAGGTGCTCTTGATATCAGTATTTTGCTCCCTGATTGTTCACATTTAGTGATGGTTTTTTAAAGAATTATATTGATATATGAAATATTTATAATGTTACTGATTTGATTTCAGTTTAAGGATCAGTATCAGTATTTTGCCCCCTGATTCTTTATAATTGGTCATGTTTTTAAAGAAATATGTTGATATATCCAACATTTATGTTGCTAATGTAGTCTCAGTTCTAGAAATGGAGAAATCAAAACTTTGAGGTTCAATTATTTTTTTCCAGAATCGGTGCCGTTTTGTTTGTACCTGTAGACTAAGCATAAATACTTTTGGCATGGGATAACCTAGATCCAGCACGGTTTTACCTTGTGTCCAACTCTTTAGTCATTATTTTGAAAAAGTTCAACACATTTCGTTAAGGATGTTTCAAAAATGCTTTGTATGCTTTGCTCTTTTGGGTCAATAATCATGGAAGAATTTCAATTTAAAGTTTTTTTGAAATCATAATTAAATTTATAATAGACACCATTCTTATACTTGACTTGAGAGAGTCTCTGAAATGGGGGAGAATTATGTGTAGAAAGTTATCCCAAAAACGCTCCTCTGTGTCATAATTTCTGGGAATAAGTATTGAGTGGACATTTTTGTAAAGCTGTACCGGGTCGTGGATGCGTTGAGATGAGATCACAGAACTGAACTCTGTGTGTACACGGGGTCGCCTTGCCCAGCCCTCATTTATGGTGAGCCACTTGCTGTTTCCCCAGATCAACCAAGGCATCGGAGCCAACATCAGCGCAGCTTTAGAGAAAGGAGCAGCGGGGGCCGGGGGAGGAGGCGGGCCGCCCCCTCCCCCTCCACCACCACCCCCACCTCCCCCGGGCGGGGGCCCACCCCCTCCCCCTCCTCCCCCACCTCCACCCCTACCCGGTGGCGGCCCCCCTCCCCCTCCTCCTCCCCCTCCACCGCCTGGAGGTGGCCCCCCTCCTCCGCCTCCTCCTCCTGGTATGGGCCCCCCTCCACCCCCTGGCGGGGGCCCTCCCCCTCCCCCCGGCATGATGCCCTCTCCCCAGTCCAACCAGTTGCCTTATGGTATGAAGCAGAAGAAGAAATACTCAACCAACACGCAGACAAAGAGATTGAATTGGAACAAGGTGAGTGAGTGTCTACTTTGCTGCCTGTTGTACTGGACTAGTTAATTCTACCATTTGTGTGTGTGCCTGGAAAAGGGTCCCAGTTGTCAGAAATTTTGGATATTGAAATAAGGGCTTATTATAGAAGAAAATTCAGTGCTAGACCTAACAATTGCGGTCAGACTTGCTCTTATGATCACCTTCAAAATACTCAGGTTCACGCACATGCATACGTGCGCGCACATACACACACACGCACGCACGCACGCACGCGCACACACACACACACACACACACGCACGCGCACATACTTCTCATGCCTTTCACTTTTTAGTTTTAGTTTCAGAGTTATTTTTCTCTTTTGTTTGTTTCTTTCAGGTCAATGCCAAAGCTTTGGACAAAGAGTCTTTGTGGGTAAACCTGCACGAGGAAGAGTTTGAAAATCCGGAGATCTTCAGTAACTTAGAGACCATGTTCTCCACCAAAGCCCCTCGTAAGCTGACAATTCATCCTCTTATAATTACAAAGTTCTATCTACTCAGTACTGAGTTTTGAGAAATTTAATTTCCACAACATGTCGTGCTTTTTAAAAATGCAGGTCTTTGAAAATCTTGATAACAACTCCGAATAATCTTACTATTTTGATAGAGCAGATAGGACGTTTGATTTTTTACCTCATGTTCAACTTAAAACGGCCAAAAATGTCAGATAGAATTTTGTAATTGTAAGGAAGCAAATTGGTAGCATTGAAGATAGATAAAACAAAAATAAATTTATGATTGTGCTTTTTAGCCCTATGTAATGGCAGTGTTTGCCCAATGCTTTTTGCCTTTGGTTCATGTCTTCTAGCCTTCTGATTGTGAATGTCAGTTAATCGATATACCTTTGTATAGTCTGCGAGGTATTTAGTTATTCTCTTTTTAAGTATCTTCATCTTTGATATTGTTAGAAACTGGTATTGTAAGACGAAGTTAGTGATATGTTTAAAGATGTTGATTTCCATTTTTGATCTTGAAGTGAAAATATTTCTTTTTGTCATTGGTTACTGTTTCTACATAAAGTAAAATTTCACTAAAGTTTGTTAGCTATGTAGAGAAGGTCCCACTAACAGAGCAACCCCCCCCCCCCCCAAATCCAAACACACACACACACACACACACACACACACACACACACACACACACACACACACACACACACACACACACACATACATTCACACACACACACACACACTCACACACAAACACACAAACAATGGACGGGTTCTATAATGGGTTTAAATCTTGAGCAATCATTTCTGTCTGTGCCATGTGTCCGTATCAAATTTGTTCAGTACCTTATTCTTGTTCTATATGATCTAGCTGTCAGTTTGTTTTTCTGGTTTTTGCTTTATTGATCTTTTTTTGTAAAGGTCTTCATATGCTCTTGACTGTCTAATACATCTTTTATTTTTGGATTGTATTCTCCTTTTTTTTCTCTTCTATATACAATATTTGTGAGGATTCCTGTTTTGTACACTCTTTGGAACAGGTTATGAGCAATAGCATAAAATAATTGATTTTTTTTTTTCATCCGCAGCCAAAAAGATTGAAAGTGAAGCATCAGAAAGACCTGCCAAAAAGGGCAAGGAGTTGAAAGTACTCGATATGAAATCGGGTCAAAATTTGTGTAAGTTTTTTTTTGTATTTACATTGAAAACAAGTCTTTACCTTGAAATCTAGTTTGAACAATATAATTTTTTATAGAGATGTATTCAGATTAAAATGCAACTTAAGATATATGGAAAATATTGATTTATTACCTGTGTTAAAGAAATTTATGTAGGTGGTTGGCAGGTGCTCTGGTGTGGTTTGCTCCTTCATTCCTATTAAATATCTACTGTCCTTATCTTTCCTCTTTTTTTATATTCGTTACTCTATTCTAACTCCTAATCTTCGGTGCTTATATGACGTCATTGTGCTGTTAGTGCTATAAAACTCTTTTTTGTGTTTGTTACTCTCCTGTAACACTTCTAATCTTCAACACGTATGTGACTTAATTGTGTTGCAAGTGCCGTAAAACTCTTACTAAAATAAACATAATGGCCCATTGCCACTTTACGTTTAGAAAGAACTAACTACACCAAATCCCAAAGTAAGGCACACATGGGTTTGACGGGGTTTTAAAAACCTCCTGCATTTTGTGTATGGATGATGTAGGCTTGGAACCTGGACTGGCGAGGCAATAAAAAACCTGGCCATATTACGATTTTTTAAAGCCAGACTGCTAATTTTTTATTTGTTGATTAGTAAAATGGTGGGTAGGCAGCCGTTAACTATTGAAGAAGGTAGTTCTTTGCAAGACCTGAGAAGGTTATAGATGTGGCTGTTATGTGAGTTTTATCTATCCTTGTACTGGCAGACCGCCCGGGGCGGTGCCACTGACTGAAGTGTCTTTAGGCCATTTCCAAAGGGGGGACATTTCTTGTTCTAATGAACAGTAGAGTTGTAAATGGGCTGTTCCAACAATGTCATGCTCATGACTGTGCCTGAACTACAACAGGGAACTGCTGCTTTTTCTTTCCTAATCCTTACTATTGTCTTTTCTTCTACTTCTTTTGCATGTTTGTCACACTCTTGTGACCCACTATTTCCAGGGGGCCTTGGTAGTCGAAGCAGACTTTGTGCTTTTAAAGCTAGAGAGGTGAGCAGAGTAAGTCTGATTCCCTGAAAGGACTTCTCTGTTGACATCCACCCCTTTGCACTCATATGACCGTATGCAGTTGCGAGCGCCGTGAAACCTCTACTAAAACAAAACGAATTGGACTGGCATAGACTCAAGTTTTATGAAAATTGATAATATTGGTGTGATTTAAAAAAAAAAAATGTTTTTGAGGAAAAGATGAAAAAAAGTGTTCTTGTATTGATGGGGGTGCCATTTTAATTAGTGCCCTGATTTATGGAAGAAAATACATATGCCAATTTTGGTTGATTACACGGAATAAATGGTTTCTGTTTTTTCTGTTTTTCAGCTATTCTATTGGGCTCCATCAAAATTCCGTACGAGGAGATCCGACGTCGCATCCTGGCGGTGGACGAGGATAACCTCACGGCAGCCATGTTGGAACAGCTCCTCAAGTACATGCCGGAGCCTGAGCAGATGAAGAGGCTCGCCGAGTTCAAGGACGATTACAAGAACCTGGCGGAACCAGAACAGTTTGCTGTCACAGTCAGTACTTTTTTTTTATGATTGCTGTCTCTGTCGTGTTCTTGTGATCGATGTGTGTGTGTGACATGTACAATCAAAATTTTTGAAGATGGCCGTGGATAGTTGAGGAGAAAAGTTAACCCCAAAGAGATCGTGACATATTCGACTGCATGCGGTAGGCTGCCTCACTCTAGAGGAGGGGAGCCATAGAAGAAGAAAAAAAAAAAAGAAGAGGAGAAAAGTGGGGTGGGATTTAAAAAAAAAAAGATATAATGGGGCATCTTGGACAATTTCATTATAATGTAAAAGAAAAGTACGTCAAAGATGGAAGTGGTGGTTTGTACAGGAGATTATATTGAACAGGTTCAACTGTATTTTGTTCAGTCTTAGCTTTTTGAACATGCATACCTCTTTACTAGAAATCTTCGAATCCTTGAATCATTGCTAGTCATTTAAAACAATTGTTGAATAAAAATGCAGTATATCTACCTACCCGGTGAGGTTATTTTAATGTTCCGATGGCCTTCCCTGTCATCTCTTCACTTTGAATTCTCACTTGTTCTGCTACAGTTTTGTGCATCTGGCTGGGACTAGGTATGTGAGGTCTCTCTTGCTGTGAGTTTTAAGCTTGATTTCCGATTACTCAAGCACTAAGGTTTTGAACATGTTTAATATTGTAATGTCATTAAATTTTCTTCGATATGGAATTTTGGGCTGCCAGTTTTTGTAGTATACATATTCTTATTGTCTTTCATATTTCAGATGTCGTCGATCAAACGCATCACTCCGAGATTGTCCTCAATGTTGTTCAAAATGCGCTTCCCAGAACTTGTATCCGATGTGAAGCCGGTAAGATCCAATTTCAGTCCAGCGACTTTGTGTAGAGTTTTTCAAAAAAGATGTGCGAAGTTAAGTTTTTGTCTTGCTAGCAAATTATCTATGCAGGAGTGTAAACATTTGTCACAGGAAAAACACAACTAACGAAAAGTAAATGCATTATAGTAAGTGGAACGACAAATGTTTGACAAAATCCCAGGTCTTAAAAAGATGGGCCAAGTTACAGGAAGTCTGGTGTTCAGTTACTTTTAGAATAAATCTTTTTTGTTAGTTGGTAATTGTAGACCATGTCTGGGTATATGCTGTCAGGCACAGATAACATGAACGCAGAAAATTTGAGATCATAGATAGTGTGTACAATTTTGCGTTCCTCGATCGATGTCTCTTTAGTTTTTCGCTGTACAGTTTTCCCAAATTCTAGAAGAGTTGAACGCATTTGTCAATCCCTGACATGTTTGAGGTATCTGTGTCCGACCATAGCTTGATTTTTATGTCTTTTTTTCTCCTACTATAAGAGGACCATTATCATATTTGTTTTATTGTTTTTCTTAACTCAAACAGTACTGTGTTGTGATAATTGTGTCTGTGGGTAGTTGACAGGTGCTCTAGTGTGGTTTGCTCCTTCTTTCCTATCAAACATCTGTCGTCCTTATCTCTCTTCCTTCTTGTTTGTTTGTTACTCTCTTGTAACACCTCTATTCTTCGGCTTGGGTGGTTGGCGGGTGCTCTGGTGTGGTTAGCTCTTTCTTTCCAATAAAAAAATCTATCGTCTTTGTCTCCCCTCCTTCTTTTTTGTGTTTGTTACTCTCTTGTAACACCTCTAATATTCGGCACTTATATGACCTTATTGTTTTGCAAGTGCCATAAAACTCTTACTAAAACTTTAAAAAACATTCTGTTGTGTCCCAGGACCTGGTGGCAGCCACAGAGGCGTGTGACGAGGTGAGGAGCAGCAGGAAGTTTGCCAAGCTGCTGGAGCTGCTGCTCATGATGGGCAACTACCTCAACTCGGGCTCCAGGAACGCACAGTCCCTCGGCTTTGATATCAGCTTCTTGACGAAGGTAAGTGACATGACGTCGGTCAGATTTTTGGTGAAGACGAGAGTTTTGTGCGAGGGAGTGTGTGTGTGTGGATGTGCGTGTGCGTGCGTACTTGTGTTCGTGTTCGTGCGTAATTGTGTTCGTGTGTGTGCGTACTTATGTGCATGCGTACTTATGTGCGTGTGTGTGTACTTGTGTGCATGCATGCCTTCGTGGGTGCATGCCATTGTGTGTGTGTGTGCATTTGTGTGTTGTGGATATGCCTATGAACATGTACTCGAGGGTCAAGTGTTCAAAGTAATGGAGGTAAATGGGTGATTGGTTGGTGCTCTGGTGTGGTTTGCTCCTTCTTTCCTATCGAACATCTTTTGTCTGTATCTCTCCTCCTTCTTTCTCGTGTTTGTTACCCTCTTGTAGCACCTCTAATCTACCGCACTTATATGACCTTATTGTGTTGCAAGTGCCGTAAAACTCTTACTAAAACTAAAAGTGATGGTAAGATTAGTTTGTTTCTGTTATCTACGTTTTATCAAGAATAAATAGTATTGCATTATCATTAAAGATGCACTAGCAACCATTCATGTTGAGAAAGTTTTGGATGTAGATATATTTATATAATTATGTCGCCAGGTGTGATGATGTGTCGAAATTTGATTTTTCTGTTCTCAGCTGGAGAATACTAAAAGTCAGGACGGCTCCATGACCATGCTACACTTCCTAGCTCAGATCTTGGAGGACAAGTATCCAGACATTTTGGGCTTCATGGATGAGATGATCCACGTGGATAAGGCAGCCAGAGGTGGGTACTTCGGCACACACAGAAACACATACATTTACATACACATTAACGTGTATGCACTCACCTACAGACATATACGCACGCACACGCACGCAGGCGTGCGCATGCACACATGCACTCATGCACATACATGTACACACACACACTCACAAACAATTGAAGATGAATTTCTTTTTTCTTTTTTCTTGTCCAGATTTTGCCAATCAAAGGAAATTGTTAATTCCTCCCAGCCTGACTCGGCCCAGTGACAGAAGTTTACAATGTTTGACCCATGATAAGACATATAATGTGCACAGCCTGTACTTTTTCATTATTGAAACTTTATTTGACAAAGGAGTATTTTATTATAATAATGATAAAAATAATAG